GGACCCTTGGAGTGTTTGCAACGTTCTCGGTAGCCGGTTCCTCCTTAAAGCGCGTAGGATACACGGATTGACGAAGTTTGGCTCGGTTATTCGAGAACCACCACTCCTGTACCACGAGTTCACTCCACTCCTATGGAGTTTCATTCAACACGGGTGGCGCGCGCCTCCGCAAACCGGTATTCGGTTGCTCTATCCGCGAGAATGGCAAATATAACACGGCAACGACGATTGTGTAAGAAAACGAGCGCGATCTCGGTTCCCTCGAAATTTCGTTACGCAACAGGCGTGGATTCGATTAAAGATGAAGAAAAGTAGAGGCGGGCGAGAGACGAGATCTCGGGGCGAGGCGAGGCGAGGCGAAAACTCGTGGGTGGACCACAACAGGGTTTCGAAACGAAACCTTGGGGTGGGATGGGTAGAGAAATTTACTTTCGGGGAAGGGATGTGTGATTCGTGTTTGGATAAGGGAAACTGCGGTAAACATGGTTCACGTATCAGTGACACGAGACGGGAGGCTTTCCTTTCAAAATACACGTATGAATGGTCGGGCCGTGTGTCTCATTTCCGATTCATTAAATTCTAAAGAGTTGTTCCGTGACGAGGCGGCACCGAGATAGGCGGCCGGGTCGCGCGCTCGCAACCGTTTCTACATTATGCGCGCACGGACTTTAATAATAATTTAAACGGGATGTAAATCGAATGGAAGACTGCGGGGAACACCGCGCTGCATAGAAATGCACGTGGCTTAATTAAAACGCCGCTTTTATGAAACAAATATTTATCGCGATGCACCAACCAAGACTAAATTAATCGGTTGCGTGATGAAACCTGCATTTCTTTCTGATTTTTTTCTATCTTTTCTCTCTCTCTCTCCCTCTCTCTTTCTCTCTCCCTCTCCCTCTCTATCTCTATCTCCATCTCTCTCTCACATTTTTGGTTTATACACTTTACTCGTTATATGGGTATGAAATGGGGAAAAAGAGAGAGGGGAAAAAAAAAAGCGAACCGATGGAAGGATAGAACAGAAACTCTCTTTGACGGTCAATATTTGTAAACGTTTATTTATCGATACGCATTGTCCATTCGTAAATTGAATACTGGGTGAAAAACTATACATTTCAATGGGACACATGGTATCCCAGTTTATTTGCCGTATGCAGTTTTTTTTTCCCCCAATGAAACAAATTTCATTGTTTCGCTTTTTTATAATAAGTATCGATTCGAAGAGAGCGGTGCGCACGTATCCAATCCCCGATCCACCAACCGATCGACCTGTTTGCACTCTCCAGCAGCTACCACGTCCTTTCTAATTCGCTCGTTTCGTTTCACGTTTCGCTCCCTTCTGAATTCGACCCAACACACGACGCAACTTGCCGCGATTCGAACAGTCATTTAACCCGATCCCAACTTACGCGATTTTGGCTTTCGTTCAGTTTTCGTTTTCCAAACTTCCGATGAAACTCCAAGATATATACCCGTACCCGATTCGAACGCGCGGAATAATTTACGCGTTTATGATTTGAATATATATATATCGTTCGTTTAACGTGCGAAACGTTTCTCGAATCCGTGTATAAATATGCCTGTACACATTAATCGAGCGCGAAGTATAATCGACTCGACGAGGCGGGGCGTGGTAACGTTTCGAAGGTTTTAAAGGAAAACGTGATCCGAATATCGTATTTATTCCTCCCTTTATCTACTTGATTGTAGTTCGATTGAAATTCGTTACGTTACCCGACTTATTATGGGGACACGTCCTCTACCGATTTTCCTCGTTATTTTTTTCTCTATCTCGCCGCGTTCTTTTTTCTTTTTTATTATTATTCTCGTGAATATCTCAACCTGTAAAAAACGATGGAAATTCCGCGAGCAAATTTCGAACGTACGTGAGCAACCGTCCCCAGAGGTTGCCATACCACTTTCTTCCCTTCCGTTTTACACCGTGTCACCTGTTTATCCCGTGTCTCGTTTCTCATTATTTTTCCCCAGATGCATCCCCAAATGCTCGGTTCGCGATGTAATCGTTTCATTGGTTTTATATGTATATGTATAGCGTTTCGAATTTTTTTAAAAAACAGCTATCGAATTTCGGAAGGCGAGACTTGTTACGTAAAAGTTTCGTGGAGGACGAGTAACGTGGAAAATGGCGGAGGAAAAATCGTGGCGGAATATAAAAGCGACGATACATAAAGTATCGTCTCGGATGAAATATGCCCGTTACATGTTAATGAGGGGCACGCGTCCTCGTGGTAAGTGGAGCAATTCTCGCGGAAAGTTCTCTCTCTCTCTCTCTCTCTCTCTCTCTCTCTCTCTCTCTCTCTCTCTCGCGCGCGCGCGCGCGACATTGTCGGACTTAACGCGCCGGTTGAAACCTTATCGTTCCAAGACAAATCTTCTCCTCCTCCCTTTCCAATCTCACGGTCAATTTTTCTACCTCTACGAGCCGTGAGTAATTCTTCTCCTCACCCGTGGCAGCCGAATCATTCCATTTAATCTCTCGTTGAGTGTTTGATATCGTTTCGAGGAGAGACGAGAAGTACCTTGCGTTTCCTCGATACAAGTGGTACGGCTCGCTGGATTATTTCGGTTTTCTTCCTCTCTTCTTTTTCTTCTTCTTCTTCTTCTTCTTCTTCTCTTCGTTCCCCTCCACTTTTTTCCCAGAGTAAATTAAAAGATTAAAAGCAGAGGGAAGACGTAATTGACCGATCCTTTTGGAGGAGGAGCAAGGAAAAGATTAACTCTCTTCCCACTCTCGTTACGTCATTCGATCGGGATTATACATTTCGTGCAGAGACAAACACCGGGAATTCAATCTCACGGCACGAGATAAATATACCTCGTATATACCTCGTTACCAGCTGCCTAAAACTTTACGATAGACGTATAAAGACGAGAGGGACGCTATCGTCTGAGACGGAGATCTACTTTTTCCCTCCCTCGTTTCCCACGTTTCACGGCCAATTCCGAGTACTCCATCATATCGCGGCAACCTCGAAGGATTATCCTCGTTGATGGCACTTCTTGCAATAGGGTTGCTCGGTTTTAAATAAGCGGGGGAAAGCCAGGCGTGAAACGAGGGAAATGGTCGTTGGATCGCCTCGGTTGGAATAAAAGTCACGGTACATTTACAATGGCTCGCCTATTTACAATCCCGAATTGCCTCTGTGCGTGGTGTAAGTTTTATAAATTGTACGCCCGCGTCGATATTTCGAGGGGGGCAAATGTTGAGCGCGAAACGTGGGAAAAAACCGTCACGTTTGCGCGGTTACCTTTTATTCCAACGAGCCCGCATTGCGTCAACTTTTAATCTAATCCTTGTTTCGGATAACTATTTCTTTATTTGAATTTTTTTTTTTCTTTTTTATCGATACGTACGATGCATACGATACGATACGTCGTATTCATGCCGAACTACTAATTCGAACTGCTATAATATATATACGTACGTATAAAGTTACATCCGCTGAAATGGGGCTCGTTCGGAAGTTATAAAGAGTAGTCAAAGTCGTGTGCCATCGTTTAAAACTTGTAAAATAATGGTTGTACGTTGATATTACCTAAGCAGTATTACCGTGATCCCTCTATTCGTGATCTCTCCGCCTGGATACTGTGTCTACTTTCCAAAGGAGCGATTCAAAGGTAATGGGGAGGGAAGGGAAGTTTATATCTCGAAAATGATCGGAATCTAGTAGCAATAGATGATTTATCGAATAAACACGTAGCGGGGCGTACTCGTAGTGCGTGGTACCAAGAGGTTCGATTAATTCCGGTCACGAATCGAGCAATCATCCCGCGTCACAGTTGTAGAAATTATTCTGGTCGAGAGGTATTTCTTGCTTACACTCGGCTACACGAAATCAAGTGAGAGTTCGCGTAGGGCAATTACCGATCGTTATTGACGTAGTACATTTACCTGACTGTAATACGTGTACGGTATTTACCGGCCAGTTACTGGTCCTCGAAAGTTAGGCAACTACGGAATGGCGAATCGATAGTTACACTTTCGTAAACTTTTCGACTCTATTAATGAGAATGGTGGGAAAGGAAAGATTTAACTCGCGTGCATCGCGATATCCTTTAATTAAAAAATTATTTGATTGATCCGTACACGTAGCGTACACGATCGTCCAGTATCACTTTTTCCAACCTTTTTTTCTTTTTTCCTCTGCGTCGAGGAAGATTTTACGTTTTCGAGACCTCGAGAGGTTATTTTCTTCGATATCGATTCAAAAGGATTCAACACGGGTCGATCGACGCGTAGAAGAAGAAGAAGAAGAAGAAGAGGGAGAAGAAGAGTTAATGACCGTTGCAAAATGGACACCGCCATGTAGATAGAAAATACCGTGACTAATGGCGGCGTACTAGTACCCCGCCGTAACTGTCGGGACACCAGTAGTTACTGACCGTAATAGACGGACAATGGCAGAAGCCGGGGAGAGCTCGATATTACGTGGAAGTGAATAGTGAGCGTCGCGAGCAGACACGAAGCTTATTTGTTCCTTGGAGCAATATCAAGGTAGCTTATTTCGAAGAAATCGTTTCCCCGCTGCCATCCGATAGAATCCGATAGTTGCGAATTATTGTACACGGGGAGAAGCATCGGCGATTAATTAAAATCTGGACCTGTTACGGAGCACATTTGTCGATAGAACGAGCTACGTATAGAAGGGAACTAAATTACTTCCCCTTCGTTTTTCATCGAACGATTTTTAGCGGAGGAAGAACATTTCCAATTTAGCGAGGAGGGGAGGGGAGGGGATAGAGGGGTACAAAATGATGAAAAATTCGTTCCGGGATAAAGGCGGGGCATGCGTTCCGTCCGTGGTAACGTGAAATTTTTAACCAGCTTCATGCAAAGAGGCGTAGATGTAAAACCGAATCCCTTGTCATTAGGGCAGGCAGATCCTTCTTTTTCTCGGCTCACAATTTCACGGACCAATTCTGGCCCGGAGCCTGGGATTTATTCTTGTTAACGAGTCTTTTTGCTGGTTCTCCAGGTGTCGTGGATCAAGCGGAAGAACGTCCAGGAGTTGCTCACCGTAGGACTGACAACGTACGCGAACGACGAGCGTTTCCAGGCAATTCATTTCCACCACAGCGAGGATTGGACTCTTCAAATAAAATACGTTCAACCGAGGGATGCTGGATTGTACCAGTGCCAAGTATCCACCCATCCACCCACGAGTATATTTCTGTTCCTCGAGGTTGTTGGTAAGCGTGATATTAAACACCGATATAAGCTATTTGCGTGCGGTCTCTGCCCGATTTTCGGCTATCACAGATCGACCGCCGTGTCGATCCGATTTTTTTCACGTTTCTTTCTTTTTCTTTTTTTTTTTTTTTTCTCAACACGCTTCTCACCGCGTCTAGCTCGAATTCCCGAATTACAATGGCAATAACCCGACCCCGTTTCCCCGATCAGACATCGACGATAAATCAAATTTTAGTTTATTTCGTTGAATGGTTAATGAAATTGAAACAAACGTTTGTAAAAAAAAAAAAAAAAAAAAAAACAGCGTTTCTTCGTGTCGTTGTTCGCATTTACGTAAACGGTCATATTCTCGACAATTGCGAACGAGCATTGGGAAAATATCATCAGTTCGATTACCCTTATCGATCTTCCTATCCCTTGTTTTTTTTATCAACGTTAAAAATTCAGCGCATGACGACTCTCCGTTCATGCAACATCCTCTACGCATTTATACATAGTTTTCATACGCTGATGCGAGCATCGATTCCTTCCCCGTTTTCCTTTTCTTCCCTGTTGCGTCTCGTATATTCTCATTGCTCGTTTCGTTTTGCAATTACGAATATATTATTTGGAGCGAGGGAATAAAACACGTATCAAATAAAGTAGATAGTACGCGTGTTCCTTTTGTTCGACGTCCTCGTAAGTGTCAGCTCAAAGAGAGAGGTAATCCTTTCTTCGAAAAGGGGGGCAAACGAAAATTGTTCTTACCAAGAGACAATGTACTCTTGTCCGGTTTGCTGATAAGAGTTGCAACGCCCCACTATCTATAACGAGAAGAGACGCTTTTTCTCCTTATACACTGGCTCGAGAAGAGGAAGACTTTAGAGTTTAAGAATTCCCTCTTTTATCAGATTGCCTATTTTTACCTATTTCCTTTTCCTTCCCTCCCTTATTCTCCCTCTTCCCCCTCCCCTTCCCGCTTTTTCATCCGCATCGGTCTCGTTCCCTATTCCAATTGCAATTTCTTTTCTTCATCCACGAATCGAGCGTTTACATTTTCGTTCGTATCCACGCAGCCTGCACGCCGTCCAGGTCCGGGTCCAGCTCCTTTTGTTCGAAAAAGAAGTCGAAGAGTCCACTTTTATCTGGATTTTATTAAGCAGACGGCCGATCGATAAAAGCGAGAAAACGCTTTTTATCAGACGCAGGGAGGTAGAAGTTTCGTGAATTACGATGTTCGGCCCTGGTGTCGCCGTTTTAACCGACGCCCTCCCTCCTCCCTCTGTCTGTACGTGTATTTGCATTTAGATTCTACTTTTTGGAAGTACACTCCCCCTACATCTATATCCATAAATATATTTATACACCTATACCTTATATACGCATACATGTTCCTTACAAACGTACCTGTGTGTATGTGTGTATGTGTGTATATGTACGAACGTATGAATAGTCGCGCGCGCACATCGGTTACTATCTAATTTCGTCCCGGTTTCCGGGTCTGTGTTTTTGTCGTGACATCTGACGAATACGTACGAGAGCTTTTCTCAGGTACCTTTAATATTTATCCTCGCGTCTGTCCTCAAACTACCCCTTCGCTCTCGAATCTGGAACGTGTAATATTTTACGTTCCTTCTTGCAACGCTTGAAATTCAAGTGAGATTTTTTTTCTTTTCTTTTCTTTTCTTTTTTTTTTTTTTTCTTTTTTGTTGATTCGAAGATGACGGTACAGTGGGCGTGCCATTTCGATTGTACCATTTTATACACTGGTTAAACGGTTAAATGGTGGTTTATTACGGAAGAGACGAACGAATGTTTCGCCGGATGCCGGCCGAAATATCCCGGATTTTCGATTCGCGATACATCCTCGTACCCCTGTGAAATCGATTTGTTAATTACAGTCCTCCCTTTGGCACGAATTTAAAGCTCCCCCTCCGTTTAAAACTATGTTTCACGGTAATTTATTACGTCGAATTTTCGTCGAAACAAAGTTTCGCGTGTAAAGATTTAAAAGAGAGACGTCGATGATAAAATCGTCACCGAGGAAATAACCGATACTCATAAAAGAGGGTTCGATCGTTTCACTCGATTCGTATAGTTTCTCGGATAAATTCCTCAAACGCGAGATATCGTATCGCGGTTTCAATAAAAGATATTTCGGCCGTAAATTGACCGTATTTTGTGCCCAGATTCCGACCGTGCATTCCGTCCTTTGCCGATCCCCCGGCTTAGAAAATCTACGAAAAATCGATTGTTCCCGAGTGGCGGCTGGCTGACTACGCGCGGACCTATTCCCCTTCGTAGCGTAATTCGTGCGCGCAGCGAACGATTGCGAAAGACCGAGGACCGAGTTAATACGATCATTCGATCAATTCGAATTAATCGAATCAGCATTTGCTGGACGTTTCCATCGTCGTCGGTTATTAACGATTCCTCCCGTTGAAGGAAAAGGAAAGAGAGGGGAAAAAAAAAAAAGAAAAAAAAGAAAGAGAAAGAGAAAAGAGAAATTGGATTTACGTAGCTTGCTCGCTAATTAAAACACGATCGAGAAGAATGGATCGAGCCATTTCTCGAATCAACAGTATGCGCGTCCGCTAGTGGCTGAAAATCAAATTGGATTACCAGAGAATAAGAAGTTGGGTAAAGACGTATTTAACGGGGGCATCGGCTTGGAAGGAATCTTATCTTCTCTTCAACTTTGGAATCAATAACGATCTTCGGTATTGTCACGACGAGAAACGAAGGCAACTTTCGAAAGTTGACCCTTAATGACCGTCTCATTAAAGAGCAATTAGACGAATATATGCGGTAAAAGAAAGAAAGAAAAAAGGAGAGAGAGAAAGAGAGAGAAAAAGGAATTTAACGCCTAGAGATAAATAAATTGCTTCGGCCGGTACGGTACATCGACCTCTTCGAGTATGTGCACGAGCGAGCGAGCGAGCGCGCGCGCGTTGGATCTAATTTTAATCATCCGATATTGCTACATCATCCTTAAAACTTTGATCATAGAAGGGAGGAAGGATTAGATCATACGGTATTTAATAAGCTTCTCAATTTCTACCGGATGTCCAGAACACGGGTTAATAATTCTTTTCCTTGGCTTGGGAATTAATTAAGAAGCTAAGATCGTTATATAAATATATCCCGGATAATTCGATCAGCGTAATTAAAAGCTTCTCCGTGAAGGTGTGAAAGGATTGAGATAATAAAAAAAAAAAAAAAAAAAAAAGGAAAAAAAGGAAAGAAAAGAAATTGGTGCAGAGCGAAATATAATTAAAACAAGACGGAGAGAATTGACGCAAGAGGGAAAGGGATTGAGGGAGCAAAAATTGGCCCGACGAAGCGTATAAACAAAACGAAGCCCAATCGTTTTAACGGATCGGTTAAAATTCACGTATTGGAGCTGCGATTTGGAAATGCGTATTCCGATGGAAAACTAGGGAATAGTTTGATAAACGAACGATCGAGGGAATTGCGAACGTTCTTGAATCGTGACGTTTTAATAAATTTTCGACGTGTCGACTACTGACCACGTTGATCTCGCGACGAATTCTTTTTTTTTCTTTTTTTTTTTATTCACGGTACACGTACGGGACAGATCCGTGTGTACGTTCTTTTGCATCTGTGCCGCTCCCCCGATATATTCGCGATGACCGATCGAGGAGAGAGAGAGAGAGAGAGAGAGAGAGAGAGAGAGAGAGAGAGAGAGAGAGAGAAAGAGAGGAGCACTTGGAACGTGGACGGTTCAAAAGAGCGCGGTTGTAGCACGGGGAGAAGCGCTTAAAACTCGATCCACACCTCCGTTCACGTGCGTCGGTCCGTGACACGACGTGAAACGGAAGCCCTGTCGCCGGGGTTTGAAGGCGGCCGGGCAAAAGTGTATCCGGTGGAGGGATAGCGAAGGTTTTGCTCCGTGTTTACAACGTGCCGTCACACCTGATCCTATACCAGCTGTCTCATGGCTGTCGCGTCAGTCTGCGTGGATCGGTCATAGCAGAGCGGAGGGCAACGACGACTCGAGCGAAAAAATGGTTGGCCCGAAGCTAGTCGAGAGAGGGACGTGGTGCTCGCGACCACGCTTAAGGGCAACTTAAAATTCTGGAGATCGTGTCGAGGCTGTAGGGGAGAGGGATAGGGGAAAAGGTTACTCTTGGCTGCGATGGTTGAAAGAATACAAGAGCGAGAGGGAGAGCGCGAGTGGGATTTGGTACGCTATCCCCGTACGATCCTTAACCAGCCACGATGCATGCCTCATCCTTCCTTACCTCTCATAACCACCTTGGACCCTGGTAAACAATATGGGATAGGACGTGGTAAGCTGGTCACGTCTGACGTGTCACGTTCCGCCATTTGCAGAGGCCAGAGCAGAGATAGCCGGTCCCTCGGAGAAGTTCGTGAGGCCAGGTAGCACTTTGCAGCTTCACTGCCTCGTAAAAAAATCGACGGAGACGCCTTCCTATTTATTCTGGTACCATAACTTCCGGATGATCAACTACGACGTCGATCAGGGGGTGAACGTCAGTACAGATCTGGTGGGGCGGGAGAGTTGGCTGGAGGTACCCCGTGCGTCCGATCGCCATTCCGGAAATTACACCTGCGAGGCGAGTAACGCTCAACCGGCGCGAGTGCTGGTGCACGTGTTCAAAGGAGATAATCCAGCCGCGATGCAGCACAGCATCGCATCGTCTCCATCTGTCATGGCTTGCAGCGCCCTATTGATGATGTTCACCACGTTGAAACTCGTGCTGCATTCCACGACCACGAACTGACCATTGTGTCCCGCCACGTGTGTCGTGCGAAATATAGAAAAATAAACGTTGTGATAATATTTCGAAAGGGATATAAAGTTGGGAGTAATTTAAAGGGGATAAGAGGGAGAATAAATTTCGTCGAAGTTGCGTGCATGCGTGTATGTGTGTATGTATGCGTGTATGTTTTACGACATTACAGGTGCAGTTTGTTTCTCGACGAGATTGCATCGTGTCGAGAGACTATGGTTGGATCTAGAACTACCAATTTTTGATCTTCGAGAGGTGAGCGACTTTATCGTGATACGTTACGTAATTCTTAAGGGGTCGAATCGAGAGTGAGGAAGAGGGATGACGTGTGCCTGCGTGTACCAACCGGCATGTGTGCGGAAAAAGAAAAAAGAAAATGAAGCAAAAGGATGATATTTGTGTAAAATAACGAAACGGGTCCGGGTATGCATCCTTTAAGGCCGTGGTACTTTCGAACGATGCATGGCGCGAATGACCAAAAAGAATCGTCGCCGATGATATTAGAAAATCTCTCTTCGTTTTAGAATAAACGATAAAAAATTTCGCAAACGTTTCGTTAAACGTGTCGGCAAGCGTGTTTGCTCAAAAGTTGCCGTTTCGCGCGATTCGCCGACACCATTGTTAACCACCGTTTGTGATGTGTGTAAATGTGTAAGCCGTGTATAACTATCACGACCGTAGAAGCGTAATTGTGTAATCTGTCCTGTGACGAGTGGCGCGATTAATGGCGATAATCCTGTCGCATTTTACCGGGCAAAACTTTCCAACGATGCTCACCAAACCTGGTAGCGGCAACTTTATTCGGTTGCAACCGGTGTTAACTATCTCCCTTTCTCTCGTTCTCCTCTCGTGAAATTTGTCGCGTTAATGGGAACGATGAGAGATCGCTACACAATATCGCGTTCCCATCGGTTGCCAACCAACCTGTGCCAACGTAATTTCGTAAAAAAGGCGCGAATGACAAAAGTGTGAAAACGATCGCGGCGCCCTTCTCGTTCGGGAAACAATAACGAATCGTTGACCCCCTCCCCTCCAAAGCTCTTAAACGTGGAGCGAGGGGAAAAAAAGGGGGGGAACGTTCGCCTCGATTTATATGGAATATTACGTATTCGGCCTACACACGTACAGGTGCGCGTAATTAATCGTGATAATCCCGGTGTAATGCAGCACAGCCTAACGACATTATCTTCCATTGCCTTGCTCCGCACAGACGACCTTGCTCATAATGTCCAAATTAGTTCTATCTACGAAATGGCCGTGCTCAGATGCGTTGTACACCGTTGGAAGGAACACCTTCGGTGATTATTAACGGGTTATGGGAAATTATCGTGAAGAAGCGTGAAAATTCGTCGGGAGGGGGCGACGATTTTTTAGAATTCGACGTGAGCGAGTGAATTTTTTTTTAGCGTATCGCGTTAGAGAGAAACGGAAACAGAAGGATTGTAGGGATCCAAAGTCGATCGATCGCGCCAATCGATCTTTCGTTCCCGATTGTTCGTTGAATCAAATTTTATTGTACATATATTTTCTATGTCGGTTGTTAGTCGATCTATAAATTATATGATAAATCTTTTATAGAGAGAGAAAGAGAGAGAATCCCCGTTATCACGAGAGAAGAACGCAAGACGACTTTCTTGGACCACGATGTTTCGCAGCGTTAGTATTACCGCATGTTTCCAAAGCTAATCCACTATTTCCTAGGTAGACAGCTGTTTCTCGTAACCGTACACATTGTCAACGAGGATAATCCAGTTTCTGCAAATAATAAACCGAATGGTATTATCAAGCTTGCGTGCCCGGATTTCGATGGGAGCAAACGAAAAGCTCTCGTGTGTGAACATGTACGTCGAGATAGAGAGAGAAAGAGAGAGAAAGAAAGAGAGAAAGAGAGTGAGTATACATACCGAGAGAGATCTGTTCATACAAGATGGATCGATCCCGATCATTCGATCGATTTTAAACGATAATATTTCTTCCACCGCTCGGCCATCATCATCGTTCGACGAGGAATTTGATTTATGTAAGTTAAAGCGATGGATAATTTAATGTGATGTTCGATGATATAGTCGCTGTCTGTTGTATATGTACATACGTATACATAACATATATATAAATATGTTACGAACGTCGCACAATGTTAATCTCATTTACGGTTGAATAAAATTTTCATATAAATTCCATGCTCGACTTTGAAAGCTCGAAGAGAAAGGCGAGAGAAAAATTCAATTATTCACGGCATTCGTAATGGTAATAGACCATTTATATCACCGCTCGGTTCGAATGTCTCGAATAAATTTTTTTTGTTTCTTTCTTTTTCATTTTTTATCGTCCCGATGTCTCTCTAATCTTTGTACAGATCCGTGGTCCAGCCAAATGGGAGATGGATGTAAGTAATGAATTATATCCCGACACTGTTTCGCGACACAATAGTCTCGATATTTTCATTCGCCCGTGTAATGTAACCGGGGCTCTTTATCAAAGTAAAAATACTAACGGAACGCGATGAGTTCGTGGCGCATAAGCATTTTCATTCATATCTCTCTCTCTCTCGTTTCCAAACCTTCCTTCCCCCTTTCTCTCTCACTCTCTCTCTCTCTCTCTCTTCCCTTCGTCTCCCTTCTTTTCTCCACTTCTCCAGAGATAGGGAATAATTTCGCCGTGACACAGTTCAAGCCTCGGTCTCCGATAATAGCTGCATGCTAATGGCATTGTTTGCCACATTAAAATTACCGCTCCTCTCAATCGGCACTAATTGATTATTACGCCGCATCGAAACTATTCAAGAATTATGATCCCATTAATTGACGTAGAGTGGATGCTCAAACGATCCGTTACCGCGGTGGAAAAAATTTGCGGTTGCGTCGAGGGGATGATGTATCGTTTCCCCCTTTGCATTACCAAGATTCCATCGTCGAAATTATGCAAACCGGATGATTTATTTATCGGGAAATCGGTTTAGACGATAGCCGGGGAACGTGATCGAAACTAAATTTCGCGAACACGAATCGCAAGTATATCCCCCGATTAAAGACGGTTTTAATCGGCACTCGATTATATGTTTACCATACACACCATCAAACGCACTTGATCGAGTGGTTCGATACCGAGCTGGAATGCAACGAGAATTACCTTCCCAGAGGTGATTTCACCTTCCTCCTCGACTTGCCCGGAATATTGCACCGTTGGGGAATACTAAGCTTCCGGCCGATATATTCAAAGACCGAATTCCAAAATTAAAACATTTATATCATCCTGCTTGCATTCCGATGAAATCTATTCGATCCTATATACGAATAATCGTATCTCGCCTTATAATCGTGTACGATTATAAGAAAAAAAGAAAAAAAAAAGGGGGGGAAATTTGTCTAAATTTTTACGTTCGCTCGTTTCTTTTTTTATCCTTTCTCTTTCTTTTCTTTTTCTTTTTTTTTTTTTCTTTCAAGGAACCATTTCCCGTTGACCCGATTTTAAGGAGGCGCGAATCACCCTCGGCCCGCAATCACCGACCGGCATTCGAGCGTGATAAATTTGAATCGTTAATATCGTGTACCAACAGCTACCAGATCTGGACGTCATTATTCCAGAAAGATGACTCTAATCTATTCGGAATCGTCTCGTCAACGGGAACAGGATCGAACGGATCGTTTCCAAATCGTGTCTTCGATAGTGGTGGGATTATTTCCTGCAAGATCGGATTCCATCCTCCACCCATCCGTTGCCACAACGAAACACGTACGTATTTACACATGGATAGAAGAGACGTTATACGAATATGAAAATCAGGTATACTCTTTTTTTTTTTTTTCATTCATTTTTCAAAGAAACTCGGTCGATATATTATGATGATTAATTCCAATGATTAATATCGATCCAACGTTCTCAGGGTTGGGTGGGATTTTAGGTGGTGGCAAGCCGTGGTTGTAACCGGAGCGCGTGCAACGTTTCCAAGTTTCAGCTTTGGAACAAGATCGCGACTAGGAAGCGAATCACGTTACTACGACGTTAACAGATATCGATGTCCACGTAGCACAAAGGAGCCCGCTCTCCCAATTCCGGTTGGAGACGCGTGCGATCGGTTGTAGGCCAGACAGATCCGGGAGGGGGGCACTTTCCACAGATGCGAATCAATTGTATTCTCCAGCATGCTCTGTTTCTCTTGCGCCGCGCTCGTACACATCGGTAATTCGAAACTCCCCGGCCGCGTCACTCCGCTCATTTTACAACCCTCGTCGATATGCGAGCAATCCTTTACGGGGACGGGGATGAAATGATTCCGTGACGATGATCGATCGGAAAACGGAGCCGCCGACTCGAGAACCACCAACCGACTGGAACTCTTCAACGCGGCCCCCGTAATTTTGAACGGGAAACCGTTGGACGGAAAATTAAATGGAAATTTTGCTAATGCTTTGCCTCAACTTTCGTGACCGACATCGGCCACTGTTTCAACTTCGTAACACTGCGCTCGCCATTCCTCGGGTTGGCCCCGAGTTTCATTTTTGATGGATTTCTCGCTCCTATCGATTTGAATAAGGAAGCGGAAGGGAGAGGGGAAAGGGAAGAGCGAAAACGAGGACGAAGATTGATGCGCGAACCAAGCTAACGAATTAGAAGTTGGCGGCATCAAAACCTGGAAAGTGTAAGAGACATCCCACCCGTAATCTCAGTTGGTAACTGCTTCAAGTTTTAATGCACTTAGGCGGCAATTCTGGTAAAGGCTATTCAAACTTTATCTTCGCTCGAATCGTCATTCACCCCGCATCCGTTTATTCATCCTTGCAAATATATACTCGTCCTGTTCTTTCAACTCGCAACTAGGGAACAGAACGCCTCGAAAATCGACGAAAGAAACGTTCTCGTTTCGTAATATCAAGTACCGGTCAGCCGAATACAATTTCCTTTCGCTAACTTTTCGGGATTAACGGATTAATGGAAGGCTATTCGGAAGGATCGAGGCGAACCAATTCTATGAAGCTTGATTAAACCGGTTTAGCGATATCCGTATTCTTAATTGTTTCGCAATTAGCAAGCAAAAGCTTGTAGAGGCGGTCGACCGACACCACCGAGGTGGAGATCGATAAGAATGCTTATTGCGGACGATGCTCGGTTTTGCGGTGTTTTGGAAAAACACTGGAAAAGAACAGAATCGAAAACTAGGTTTCCACGTCTTAAATAAATTAGAATTTAGATTTTTTTCCACGTTTCATGCAATTTCGACAACGAATTGTTCCCGTGATTCAATTTAGGATATCGCTTTTTAAAATGATACTTTTGTAAAAGACATTGCGTTAATCGCATCATTCGAGTTTCTGCAAATAAATCTAAACACCAAGATCTAAACACCAAGATACATAAGAAATCCAAAGATCGTATTCGTGTGTTTCGTCGTCTTCCCATGTTACGTCTCTTCGATCTCGAAGAATAAAATTATCCATTTTCTTTTCAATTATATATTCGCCAATTATATATTCGATCTAGAATCGAGAAGATTTCGTTCTTGCAACACCAGGAACACCAAGTTTTAATCAGGCTCGTTAAAAATCGGGGCGGTCCAACTCGGTATATTATTCGGGAGACGGCCCGTGGAACGTGTTTCTCGTCCATCTTGGGCGAATTTCCGGAAGAAATTTCAAGCCCATAATACGGCCACTAAGCCCTACCCGCTCGTCAACGAGGATAATTCTACCAAGTACCTGGTCGGTGTCGGGAAATGACTGTGTTCGCCAGCTCGATGACCTTATCGACCAGGCTGGGATTGACCCACGCCTCGTCAGCCTTTTACCGACGAACCGTGATAAGCCCTGATTGTTATATACGACGATCGAGCTAGCTCGTGCCATCACAAGCCAGAACAAATTCGTTTTGGATGCCCTTTGGACCGCGTCATCCACTTAAGATGGTCGCCCGACATCGATCCACGTCTCAGAAAAATTTGTTTGTGCTCCTCCTCTGGTGGTTAAGAAGGTGGATCAAGATGTACGATGGTTACTGCATACGTGTATACGTGTATATGCATCTTTACGTATATATATATAAAAAGCGTGAGAGGCATACAAATAGTTCGATGTTGGTTTCAACCGAAGCGAGCATTCTTCGAAATCAACGATTTTCCATTATTATAAATCCACGGTGTGCGCGATTGTTAGAAGAAAAAATAAAAGGGGAGGGAGAAAAATACAAAAAAAGAAAGAAATAATAAAAAAGAAAAAAAGAAAATGAAAAAGAGTAATCGGAAAATGTGACCACTGTGCGCACATGTAGAAAATGTAAAATATCGTTACTTGTCGTAACAATTAATTTGTCGAACAACGGAAAGGGAAAATTTTAGCTTAAACGTGTCTAATTGCAACGACATGCTTCCAGACACAGAGGTGGCTAACGTAATCGCGGTAAAACATGCATTTGAAAGCCTTTAAATATTGAACGTGGTTCCGATGAATATTTCAAGGTACGAAGGGTCGGACGTACACGGTTAATAGTCCGTGAATTTTATCGTATACCGCCAAAGCTAGCCTGATTCCGTGAAAAAAGTAAAAATTCGTGCACATCGTGCACGATTCACGCACAATTTCCTTTGTGAAGCGGCACGAATCGCGGATACTTTTTTCCCACCGTGGTAATGGGATCGCGAGCAAAAAAAAAAAAAAAAGGAGAAAAAGAAGAAGAAAGTGTTGTAAACTAGACCACGCATACTTGCGGTTCCCTTTACATCGAAACAGGGAAATATTTTTATACTCGACCGGGACAAATACGTTTTTCGTGCTGGATTAGATTTCCCCGTCGGACCTCGGGTAAAATGGTTTTTGACGCGTCTACCTTGTGACAAGTTCACGGTGTTATGCATACAACAGCGAGCTTGTCCCCGTTGTCGAAGGATTATACGCTGCCTGGCGCGGATGTAACGACTTTGACGAAACAACAGGATGATCCAATGGAGGATAGGTGCTCGCGTATACATGCATATAGATACAACGCGATACCACGCGTGGGTTTCTCGGGCTACGCAAAATGCATTTTAAAAGAAATATTTATGCGGTTGCCCGCGCGCATACATCCGAGGGCGTGATACACTTTTCAGAGGGAAGGATATCCTTTTTTCTCTCATCGAGGGAGAAACTCGATGCCACGGTGAGAGCTTCGGTTTAAAAAGAAAGATGATACATCGCATTAGGATACGTACACAATACTCGATAATATTCCATTTTCGACTTTTTTACGGGGAATTTTATAACACGTGACACGTTCCACTGTCGCGAAAAATTCTGCTGCGAAATAGAAGGATGGGGTCGGGACTCTTTGAGGAATTACCATTAACATTCCCGTGTACAGCCGGGAAATACCTGAAGCGACTTTTTCCAATCGCGAATCGGTATATATGCGCCTCCATTCGTCGCGAAACGTACATTCTTTATGGAACGGTGGCAAACCATCCGGGGGCGGAATAAAAATGGAACAACGGGATCGATATCGAGCCTGTTAATGCTTATATCTGGTCTTATACAAAAATAATTTCTATCGGAACAAAGGGCGGAGCGTGGGCATTGTGCATTGTGGGTGGGAAGGGGGAGAGAGGATAAATTGAATTTTGCAAAAATGTAAGAGAGGGAGAAAAAAATTCGATTTCGAGCTAGTTGCACGTCGCGGTATCGGCAATCATTATCGCCACTTTATCACCATACGCACGATGTCGGATCGAAAAAAAATCGAAGAGTAAAGTTTTACTTTTACCGTGGACTTTATCGCTGAGCATCTGCTTTATTCTCACTTTGAATCGCGCCGGATACGAGAACTAATCTCGCTGCGCGAGCAAATACATTTTGAATAAATCCTGTATAAATTATAAGGCGGCCGATGATTCAAGCATACTTTCTTGAAGCTTTTTTTTTTGATAAAGACTTTGTCCCAGCGTCGAACGATTGAAATTCCATCCCCCACAAGTCTCGTAGCACAAAAGATGCACACGATCTGGCGTTAGATCGGATCCAATCGTAGGAACGATCGTAGAAACGCGGCCTATTCTAACGACATAATGGCGTACGATCACGAAGCGGTTGACTCTTTTGTTAAAGGGAGAGATGACAAACCGCGATTCGCATGGGTAATTCGTTCTGGGGTCGATCGATCGCGGGATTCGAAATTACAGAAGAGGTGTATCCCAACAACCAAGTGCAATCGAGTAACTCCTCCCTCGCTCGAAGAGAGAAAGGAAAGATCGTTTCGCAATTTCTGCTTCTGGTTCAAACGAAACGTAGTCACCTCGTTCACGGAGAAGCACCATCATCGATCGCTATCGCGTGGTTATCTCGAGCAACGCGATCGAAGTGTTTCGAAACGATGTCGTCTGTTTCTCATCGATTCTACGCCTTATCGTGAATTACGTCGTCGAAAGGATCCCCCGATTCACGGGGAAGATTTCAAAATGGGAGTCCATTTGGCAAGGCGGAGAAGGATGGAAAATGAGATAAGTTAGATCGATGGAAGAAAGATATCGCGGGCCGGACGTGAAAAAAAAAAAGAAAAACTAGTGTGAAAAGGTAAGTTAGTTAAGAAGCAAAGATGCCTCTTTTCCCGCGGCTTCCTCTCCCGCACGAGTTTCCGATCCCTTGCTTGATTGCATAAGGTTGGATTTAAGACGGGTTTCGAACTAAGTTTCACCCGTGAGAAGGAAAAAAGGAGTGACGACGCCTTAAGACTGTAAGAAGAGGAAGAATTTCTCGTTTCGTACGTACGTATATCTGTATAGCGCGAACTTTCGTCCAGATCGAGGGACCGAGTTTAAAGTTGGGGGGGGAGGGGGAACAGAAAGAGAGAGAGAGTTCGTGATCGATTTTCAAACGGAGTTAAACTTCCTTCTCTTCTTACGTGAATGATAATCGATCGTGAAAATTTTATCGAATCCGCGTATTTTTTTTTTTTTTCCTTTTCCTCTTTCTTTTCCTCATTCCATTTTCCTTGTTGACACGAGGCTGTCATCCAAGGCCAAGCGTTCAATTCGTTGAAACCGATCGACAGAAGAAATCGTCGTCACGTTTGTACGGATGCACGTTTTCCTCCTAGCGGCCTTCGCCGGCCGGATTTTTTCCCGCGCGTATCGCTATCGTTGCGTTTTCGTCGTTATCGAGGAATATACCCGGGGAATCCCAAACTATGCTTTTCCAGATATAACTTGTTGATACTACGGATATAACGATTCCATAAGGAAAGAATGGCTGGTTTCGTTTGATAGACCGGTTATTGCAATATAACCATTCCTTTTTCCCTTTCTCTCTCTCTCTCTCTCTTTTCTTTTTCGTCGAACGAAATTGCAAATGATTTACGATTGTGTTACGAGAGGGATTTCGACGAGCCAATAATTTATTCCCCGAAATATGACCGATTTTATTGTAATTTACGAACCGTTTAGCCGGACAAATTCGAACGAACGAATGATTGACAAATTGACGATGATGGAGGGAATCCCGCCGCGATGAAGTTGCGAGCCTACGATCAGATATCTGAATGAAATTCGAAATCGAGCAAAACGAATATATCCATGGATATAACGAAGTCACGTTTCGAACGACTCTCTCTCTCTCTCTTTCTCTCTCTGTAGTTTCGTTTCGCAAAAGAATTACGCGTTGCGGGAATGATTTATATATCCTATTTCCTGTAGTTAAATCAATTTCTCTACCGTTAGAACGGAAAAGGGGGAGGGGGAAGGAAAATATTTCGTCTCGCGCAAACAGGGGAGCGAATGGAAATAACCGGTATACGCGAAACAGCAGATAAATGCGTTCTGTCCCAAGTCTGTGTGTCCGAGCGGCGCGTATTTAATGAGTTTAAAATCTGGCGTTGACCCAAAATCATCCTCCCCCCTCGTTCGCACCGTGTCAACCGTATTAATCGGACGCACGTTTCGGACGAGATAACATAGCGGCTCGAGCACAACGGATGGGAGGAAAAAAAAAAAAGAAAAGGAAACGAATCGATACGAGAATTATTCGTCGACTTATTTCCCCTTGGATAATTAAGAGGTAAAACTTGCACCGTATCACGGTGCAAAAGTTATATTTCATACGAAAACGTCGGAACGCTCGTTTCTTCACGCTCCCTTTCCCGCGTTTCTTATAAATTTACTCGGACTTTAAACTCCCGCTCGAACTTGTTCCGTATTCCACCAACGTAACGACACGAGGAGGGGCGAGAGGAGGAGGAGGAGGAGGAGGAGGAGGAGGAGGAGGAAAGAGGTTCCGTCATGGTCCATCTATCAATCGAACCGGTAAAAGTTTCACGAAGGTGTTCAAAGCGAGTCGATATTCCCTTTCTGACCGGCGGGTATACACCTCCTCCCCCGATGGTCTTTCCCTCCCTCGATTCGGTTCCATTAGAATCGTGGCAGGCCGAAATGAAACATAACCGGTTCGCTCGGTGCACCGCACCGCGTGTCGTTATCGTCGACGTCCGCCAACTTGCGGACATAATTCAACCGCGCGCACAATCGGCCCGCCGACAGTCGCGTGTAATCTTGCGTGTACGCGTGGCCCGATATCAGCTCGGAATAGAATCGTAGCTGGTCAGAGGATGCACGAGATGGCACGTATTCCCTTTTCGATGGACGATCATGACCATGTGTACATATGTATATATATGTATATATATTTGTGATTGTGCGGGCTTCTCTTTCGTTCGTCGGCTTTTGATTTACATTAATTGATTTCCCAGACCGATACCTGTGGCCTAGTGGATGAATGATAACCACGACGAGATTCGATTCGCGCATGCATATGTATAATTCTAGCTCCAATCGAGGAGGAGCGTGATCGAAGAGAGAGAGAGAGAGAGAGAGAGAGAGCGAAGGGGATGATTTACGAGGAAAAAATGAAACTAGCCTTTGGTTGACGGGCAATATCGAGCCGCTTTTCGGCATGGAACAAAAGCGGGTTTATTAACCGTTAATTCATGACGTATGTTAATTACGGGGGATAATGAATACATTGTGAAACATGAAAGTTAAAAGACCACCGATCCGATATTATAGTCTCTACAGTTATTATCTGTCGCGTTTGATTAACAATATCGTTGTTCCTCCCTTTTCGTCCTTTAAAAACGACGAAATGTAATTGTCATCCCAATTTTTTCTTTTTTCTCCCTCTCTACCTTTTATCCCACCTTTATCCGTGTTCTTGTTTTTCCCTCGCCCGTGTCATATTCCTTTTTTCGTTTTAATTAAACCCCGTCTCTCGTTTTGCCACTCTTGAGGAATTTAAATATTTCATCGAGGATTACACGATTCTCCTGTCCCATCGGTGAAACGAATATCCTAAAATACAGTAGAGCGGGGTGGCCATATCCGAAACCACACTTATTGGAGGGAACGTCTAGCCAAAACCGATGAGAAATTTGCTACCGTTAATTCCCGTTTTGCCCGTTCCAGGATTAACAACATGTCCGTTTCTCGCTCGATTTCGCGGCTCGATACTCGGCCGTGAGATAGGCGGAAAGAGAGAGATCGATCGCAAACGAGAGAGAGAGAGAGGGAGGGAACGCAATGGAGATTCTGGAGTAGTAGAAATTTCGAAATCGTTATTATTATACACTCGAATTCGGCATAAAAGGGAATAGAGACACGCAGTTACGTTCGATCGAGCGTGGAACCAGGGTAGAATTTTATGGTTGAGAACTTCGCAAGAGTCGTGCATGCGGTGTAACTTTGTTTCGTCCGTCACTTGGTTGTCGGATACGGATTATAAAAGTTCCCGGTCGATTTTAGGTGACCGCGAACCTACGCGCATATACATGCACGTCAGCCGGTGATCTACGGGGTGATCAAACTTCGCTGTGGCGTACGTTGTTCGCCTTAAAAATGGACGAGATTATTCCTTGTTTCACTCTCTTCTTTCTCCACTCTCATCCTTATTTTACTCGCTTCTACTTTTCGAAAAGTTTCCAACTTTACGAATAAAATATAGCGTTCAATCCGTTGCTTTATGATTTTTTCTTTTTTTTCCCCTATAGCTACGCGGTACAAAGTTATTTTCTGGTACTGTGACAACGATGAACCCATGAAAAAATTACGAGAAGATTAAAATAGAGAATTTTATCAACGAAAGAATTTTTGATCCCGCACAATTTGATCCAGTGATTGGATGTTATAAAAAAAGAAAAGAAATTACGATTAATCGACGATTTATCGTTATAAAGCGTTGAAGAGGTATGAAACGCGATTAATTTGGCTTACGTGGTAATCGCGAAAGCAAAGCAGCTGTACCATTAATCTCGGTCAATCTTGGCGGAATGACGTTTCGTGCTATCCCCGTGTGAAACGTGATCTCACACTCTTGCTCGACGCTGTACGCTAAGAGGGATTAGGGCAAGTCGCGGTTCGAAGCATCGACACGCAATTAAAGATCACCCTGTATTCGATATCGGTCGTTGCGGAACGTTATCAGCACCTACGTTACAATTTTCCGTTCCAATGCCGGGCTGCGAACGTCGAATCGACGATATGCGGCCTGCATGCAACTAAACAATGCACCCTGTCGCCAACCGTGGACGGCCGTAAATGCATCAGCATAAATCGTCCATTCGATGGAGCTATCGAGTGGTGGGGAAAAAAAAAAAAAAAAAAAAGTCACTAGACCGAAGCCGCTGGAACAAAGGCTCAGGTGAACGTTTCTTTTTTCTTTTATTTCCTTTTTTTCTTTTATTTCCTTTTTTTCTTTTTTTTAACAGCACGTAGAGTGGGTGGCGAGAAGAGAGTGAAACTACGGATTAAGGGGAAGAGGAGGATCCGTTGCGTGAGGAGGGGGAAGTAATGGCGAAACGTCTGTAATAATGGTAACTGCGCTCTCACGGTAGACCATTCAAATTTGCGCGTAAAAAGCACGTCGAATTGCTTTCCTGTTTTTTTTCCTCCATCGTTTTTGTTTTAACTCTATTTTTCAGCGGAGAAATGATTCCGTTCCGCGGGATCACCACCGTAGATACCGTAACTTCCCTCTTTTTCATTAATTCGTGATTAATTCACCCGCCGGCTCGCCGTTTCACTGGTCACGCGTTTAAAATAGTTTTTCACCCAACTTTTTGCACAATTCTCCTCCCGCGGAACTTTTGCTCGCGTTACGCTCGTTCATTTTTTCCGCCCTCCCTCCTTTTCTTTTTTTTTTCGGTCCCGGTTACTCGTTTCCTCCCTCTCTTTTTTTTTTTTTTTTTTTTTTTATTATTCCCCGTTCCAACAATTTTTAGGCTTCGACGTTCGTTCGAGCCGCGGAGCGAGATTCGAAACCTGGCGAAAAGCAGCGCGAAGAAAGGGCCGCGCTCTCGGAATGACCAGAGCGGCTCGCTGGTCTTAATATGAAAAATTCAAACGTCTGTTCGAATTTAACGCACGCCCCGTGAATATTTAATGCGTTATAAGTTGACGATGAAACGTGAATTATTCATACAATAGGTGAACTCCCGTTAAACGGGGGAACGAGTTTAAACTACATGCGTGTACGTACGTACGTACCTCTTTCCCCGATTGCTTTTGAATATAATGTTAATATTTATAATGACTTTGCGCTGCCAAGTTGTATCTGGACCGTGGCGCTGTTTTCACCCTGGATTTCTAAAGTTTCTTCTCGTTCCTTCATTTTCGTTGCTACAAACGGCCGATATGTAATTCTAATTAAATTTTTACATATTTCAACACACGGTTGCGGTGCTGGGGCTACAGGTGCGTTGTATTCGCTCGTTATATACCCTCGGCAAAAATGGAATCTCTATTTCATTTCTGCAATATTTTTCGAGCCGGCCATTTTTTTTCAGCCAAGAGTATCGTTGGGAAAAACGTCGTGTCGTTTATTTAGCGTCTAACGAATTAATATAGAGATGACGGCCGAATAATTTCACGGTTTAACGAGGTAATTCGAATCAATCGACGAGCGCAAATAATATACGATAACGAACTGTAACGATTAATAATTCCCTCGAATAAGTCCATATACTTTTTTTATTTATTTCATCTTTTTTCCCCTTTTATTTATTTATTTAATTGTTTATCTCTCTCTCTCTCTCTCTTTCTCTCTCTCTCCCTCTCTGTCTCTTTTTCTCGTAGCAAATTCGTAAATTTGATATTCAGAATAATAATTTATATCCATCTCTGTGATCAATTAATATCGAAACGCGTGTCGCGAAAAATTGAGAAAATAATACGAATTTTTTGTATTATTAAAATACGAAATGAAAATTACTTCGAAAAAAAGCGTTCGAATATTTTACGTTGCGCCGCAAATACAAATGTTTTCTAACAGGGATATCGAACGGGATGTTCGAAACGTGTATCGAAACGTGTATGATTCGACGAAGAAGTATCGAAATGATGATTTAAAAAAAAAAAAAATTCATAAGTGCTTTCGATATATTCGTCCTATATAAGATCAGGTCAGATCGATTCGACGAGGGGGGAAGACAAACGTTTCCCCCCCTCATTTAAATTAGCGTTCTCTCGATCGCGTTTTCAAAACTCTTCCTTTCTTTCTTCCCCTCCTCTCCTCCTCCTGCCATTCTTTTTCTCCTCGTGAAAAAAAATTAGATCACTCATCAAGAATAACGAAGATGGGTCGCGTATCATCTCTTAATTAATGCGCTCACGTTTGACTCTATTCGCAAACGTCGTTCGTATTTGCGTGCACACGAATATGCATCGACGTGCGTGTTTGCGTCATCGTACACACCGGCGAAGCGTATTGCGTCCTCGAGAAAGCATCGTCTACACCTTTCAATATGGTAAACAGACGCCACTCGCGAATAAATATTCGTTAGACGTTTCTCGTGATCGTCTAATACCAACGCATAAATACACGTGTTCGTATCATACATATAATACACGTGATCGTATATATATATATATATACATATCGAACGATCGAACGCTTCTCGAAACGTTGAAAATTTCTCGGAACGATGCTTTCTTTCAATTTGTTACACGTGCCAACGAACGGGTTAATAGTAACGCCGGATAAAAGAGCGTTTTTTTTAAAACAACGTTACGCTAATTTTCCAATCTTTTTTCCAACCTTTTCGACGCGCGTTAATCGAGCTTCCCTAATCGGATTTCGTTTATCGTCAATTGACAGATAACAATCGTGAGCACGCGGTCCGATGAATAATCTATTCCCCGATTCGACGCGAAAAAAAAAAAGAAAAAAAAAAAAAAAAAAAACGACATATAATTCAATGAAAGATATATAATTCGATGTCGCTCTTCTTGTTCGTGGAAACGGAAACGTGTGTATATAATAATCGTCCATGTAAACATGAACACGACGAGATGGATAACCAACGAACGCGCTCGTCGAAACGTAAAGGCGTAATGACTTTATATAATTGAACTTTGATCACGCGTTCGTATCGTGTCATTCGTTAATGGAATATGTATTTTCCAATGGGCGTTGATCGGATTCCCCTGTGCAACATTGGCGCGAGTGCAACAATGTTTTGTGCACAGTATCGTTTTAAGGATCGAATTATGATATTACGTAATAATATGTCTAGACCGATTCTCGCTCGATGAAAGGGAATAAAAGATAGAAAAGGAGAGATTCCCGTCTCATTTTTATTCCCCGATCGAAGCTCTTCCCCTAAAGAGAGAAAGAGAGAAATAATTTATCTGAACAAGCCTAGGAATTGTCGGAAGAGAGACGGAATTGCTCTTCTTATAGAGAGAGCGATGATCGCAACCACGATGATTATAAAAACGAATTTAAGGTCCGACTTGAAGATGTAAGTGTAACCGTAACACTGAGCTGCCATCCCGATGGCGAAGCATGATATACCCAAGAAGTTGTGGGCGAACTTAATCGCGACCGGTTTTATCGCATTTCGAAGTTTGGCCGCTATAAAAACGGGATAACCGGCCACGGACAAGAAGACGGCCAGAACGGCGGAAGTGATGCCCAGAATCCCGTGAATGGACTTGAAATGCACCGGTTTCACTCGATACATGACCATCACGCCGGAAACGATGAGGATCAGGCCGAGAATTTGCAGGATCCAGTGAAGGTGGCGTTTGGCACCCCTTGAAAGAAACTTGGTGAAAACACTGTCACCGGCAAACACGACAATGGCCTCCGACATCAGCAGGACGTACTGAAAAGGGTAAGAGATCGAGTCGTGAGCGGTCACGGAAGTTGCAGTCGTTGGGCGAAGTCGTTAGAACTTCTTTGGCCACTTCGGTTAGCTCGGCTCTCGGTCTTTCCCCCTCGGGAGAGGGACAAAGTCGTATAAGTTGGAGTATAGGCGAGCACAGGTCTCAGATAGTTGAATTTCGATCTCTGTTGTTGCAGGAGGTGTGTGTAAGTGGAAAATAAACGATGCGATTTGAATCGGGCGCAATCGTCACGGAGGATACTCTTGGGCAAGCGAAAACTTTTTCCACGCTTCTTTGGGATTTTTTTTTTTTTTTTTTTTCTTTTTGTTTCCCCTTCCTTTATTCCCCTTTCTTTTTGTCCGCCAGCTACCAAAGAAGCTTTCGCCTTCTTTTGAGCGATTAAACCGCGAACGATGTTCGCGCAAAGTTCTCTCCGATTCAATTTCACAGTTTACGTTGGACGTTTCATCTGGAAATTTCTTCGGTTTGTTCGCCTTTTCCCGTTCGCGGCACTTCTTTATCTTTTGCGATGGAGGAGGAGGAGGAGGAGGAGGCGTTGGAAGAAATTGCATGGAATCCGAGAGGGATGATCTTAAACCGAGGGAATGCGTTTGAAAAATGTTTTATCATCGACCGAGATATACATACCCCAATCGTGCAAAAGATGGTGTGCAAATTGACCACGTTGGAACCCCACGAACGATAGAGGGTGTACGCCGTTAGACCAACGATAAGCGCATGATTAACGAGGTCGAGTACGGCGAGGCACGTGCCGCGTGTGCTTCGTCTCGACTCGTTGGAATCTTCCAAATTTGTTGAATTATCCGGAAAACCTAAAGCTCGCCCGGCATCCACTTTTTCCATCGAAAATGACTTCTCGTTTCTTCTTCCCGCTTCTTCCATAATTTTCAGATCTGTCTGTAAAAATAAAATAAAGAAAGAATTATAAGGTCAGTTTTAAATCAGGAAGAATTTTATCGCCCGACTGCATGGAATAGCTTGGTAAAATGAAACTATTCCATAACATTCTTCGACCAACTTCTATCCGGCATTTGATTAAATTACTTTATACCGTGATATTGCTCGATATTATCTGTTTCATCGATACCTGTTATTTAACATTCCAAGCTTCTCTCTATCGTCTAAACTTCGCCTCTTGTTCATTTCTCGTTTCTCTCTCTCTCTCTCTCTCTTTTTTCTTTTTTCTTTTTTTTTTTTTGCTAATTTTTCATCGGACGAATCGGTGCATAGATAATCAAGGGTAAAAATCTCTTCGACTAATTTCTCAATGGTGCACGACAGCCGGAGAAATCGTCGACCTTCTTCCCGTATCGACGTAAAGTTCTTTACGACAAGGCTTGAAAATATTTACGAAATAGTCAAAGAGCCAGCCGGGCGGCAATAGTAATTACTAGGCACGATAAGGGGAATTACAAAGAGGACTGGCTGGTATTTGTGTTGAAGTGATTACATCTGGGAGCACGATGGTACTGACCCCTTTAAAATCAGGCCACTGATCGAAAGAAATGAAAATGAGTTCGTTGATCCTGAATATTCCGCAGGAAACGAAAATGTAAAAAGAAAAGAAAAAAAAAAAAGGCATATGACGAACGAGAAAATGAAAAATTTGAATGACGATTAATTTACAAATCCGATCGATGATTTTCGATCGAATATCGTATATCGTATAGAGACAAGAAATTGTACGGATGATCGATCCTTCCGTCGAAAAGAAAAAAAAAAAANAAAAAAAAAAAAAGAAAAGAAAAAGAAAAAAAAGGAAAGGAAAGTTTCTGCTCGCTGAAACGTGATTTTCTTTTTTCGATCGAGACACCGTAATCTGTTGAAGTGAATCGAACTCGACTGAATAAAACAAACAAGTATTCCTTCCTCCGTCGAAAGAGGAGAGTGGTACGCTCCAACCTTCGTCGTCCTTACATTTTTATTTTCTCGATTTATTTTGTTCACAATATAGTTCGTTAGACCGCTTCCTTCGTTTCGATTTTTCTCTCCGCTCCCCGTTTGGGAGACGGATTGCTGACTGGCCGCAACTTGAGATTCGCCTTCGATTTCTTTCTCTCATCCGCGGCGCGAGTTGAAAAATTGTTTTACCTCCCCGGTTTATTACAAACATCGCGTCCGCGTTGGCAATCAACTGGCATCGCGACGAGAAATCAGAAATATTACGATCGTTTAATCGAATCGCGCGAGATTTATCCTCCCTCGAGTTTTCGCGGCCGGAAGGGAGGGGCGAATTACAGCGTCTCGTGTCCATGGGAGAGATGGGGGGAGGGGAGGAAGGGGAGAAAGGAGGTTGGAAAAAAATTTCAACGACGCCGTTGGTGCCGCCGCGACGTCGGTTCCGGGTTTGCGAGAAAAAAAAAAAAAAGAAACGAGATTTCGTAGAATTTTAAACGACTCGTTAACTCACCAAACAGTCCCCTCCTTGGTCCGAAATTAAGCGAATTCTTCTTAAATTATAGCCGCACTGCGTACGGCAACACCCACTTCGCGCTTTCAAATCTCAGAACTCTCAAAATTTGTCCGTTTATTGTATTTGGCGGAGCGTAAATCTCGATGACGATCCAAGTGCGACTCGATTCGTACTAATTGCGGAAATCCTTCGATCGGGCGGAATCCGCTCGTTGCCGCGATATTGAACATTTCTTTCCTTCTTTCCTTCTTCCCTCCCCCTCGCGTCTCCCTCACTCTCGCCGCGAGAATCAAGCCAGATAATTGGAATGGTGATGGTGACCACGTGACCACTCGGTTTTCATTAATTAAAAGCATCATACTGTTACGTGACGCTGATAATCACGGATGTCATTTTTACGCGACAAATCGTAGACGAAGCCCTGCCGTTCTCTTCCCTTTCTTATCCCTTTTTCCCTTCCCTCTCTTTCTTTTCTTATCCCCTTTCTGCTCCGAATCCATCTCGCCTTTCTCCGTGACCTCTTCGATCCTCCTCCTCCTCCTCCTCCTCCTCCTCCTTCTGCTTTTCCTCCTCGCACCCCCTTCCTCTTCGTATTGTCCTCCGAAAAGTTTATTCTCACGCGTCAGGTGCGAGCCCAACTGTAGCGCGGCTCGAAATTTTCCAATGCAAATCGGGCGCAATTTCATCGAATCAGATTATCGAATTTAGGATTCGATTGAAATGAGAAATGGAATTACAGGAGAAAAAGTTTGGATCGATCGGAAAGGCTCCTCTCCGGGCCTTTAATTGAGATTAACGCGCGTTCTTTCGCGCGCTCCCAATTTTCCAAGTGAGCCGCTATTGCGTGCTATTGCGCGCCATCAAAAATATCCCCCCTCATCCGCATCCACATATACATATACATTCCCGGTAACAATTTTATTTCGATTCAATCTATCCGATGGACGATTGGATTTAACCGGAAAGATCGGTGGAAAATCCGGTGGAATATAATTTATTTAATCATAATTATCACTGATTACGCAAAGAGGAATTATTTGTACGATGGATTCGGTAAAAAATGAAAACAATGACAGGATAGTCCGGGATACAATGAGTAGCGTATTAATTCGCGCGGATCGCGTGCTCGCGTGTTATTTGCCTCTATTCAGCGAGCGGGGCCGTGCTATCTCAAAAACATCTATCCATTGTTTGAAAATGTACGGAGCTTCGATTCACGCGCGGTGCGCTTTCGTTTCGAGGAGACATTTCCGGCGTAATATCGAGACGCGATTCGCGAATTCCTGTGAAAACGGTAGCGTGAAAAATGGGAAAAATTGGATTCTTCGTAGCTTTTTTCCAACCTTCCTGCCTGCTTGCAGGAATACGGCAAAAAAAAGAAAAAGAAAAAAAAATGTATTCCCATTTTATCTTTAACATTGTATCTTCTCGCAGAAATAAATAATTTGGAGAAATGAATGGGACAGTGTGGGATATCGGTAACGTCATCGGGGCTTTCGCGCCACTCCGCTTTAATCCAGAAAATAATCCGAAACAAATATTTATATTAATTATCCTAATTTCCGCTAACGATGTTGTTTTGCCGAGATCTTGAACTTTCTTCTTTTCTTTTTTTTTCTTTTTTTTCTTTTTTTTTTTTTTTTTTTTTAATTATCGTTAATCCGGATAACGAATATGTCTTATCGCTATAACCCAATTAGAGGTCGAGTATTATGTAATAATTAGTCGACTTTTTCCCCCTTCCCGGGCCGTATCTTTACGCAAGAACATAAAAGAGGTGTACTTTATCCGATAGCGTGTGTGCATTGATTGGTTTGTTGACATCGTTGTTGGGAGCGCGACGTAATCCTACGTGTCTCTTCTCACGTAGAGATAATACTTTTGATTCTTGGGCGTGATTAAATACGTAGCTTTATCGTTAATAGATTCGATATCGAACCGTTATATAGATACGTTATCGAACCGTTTATCCTTTTCTTTTCTTTTCTTTTTCTTTTTTTCTACGTCTCTTTTTGTCCATCCCGAAAAATCTGGAAATTTCGACGTTCTTCTTCTTTCTACGTATATTTCTTCCCTTTTTCTTTCTCTTTTCCTTTTTCTTTTTTAATCCCCTTTTTTCGATTCATTTCTTTTCCTAAGGATATCTTCTTTAATAACAACCCGTGAGAGTGAAGAAGTGAAGAATCGAACGAAAGGAAACAAAGTAAAAAGAAAAAAAAAAAAAAAATTAAAGAGGAGAAAAAGGGAAAGAGAATGGAACGGAGAGGGGAGAATCGGCGGTGAAATTAATTATCAGAGTAGTCGCGATAGTGGTTTATCAATTTTAATTACCTCTGGCTTAACGAACTCTTAATTAGAAACGGAGACTCATAATTAACATCTACGAGGAGCAATTTATTTTTATCGCTAGATAACAATTGGGCGAGTGTAAGAATAGCTGTGATACGGGATTTACGAGTGAACGAGTCGTTGCAAGTTTTCTAAATATACATAGTTACACGATAAAGAGTGTACACGATAGCGAAGCGTTGACTTCGAAAGAGTTTCTCCTCGTAGTTTCGTTATCCTCTTCCCCTTTCTCTTCCACCGCTCTCTTTCTCGCTCTCTAATATTTCCCGGCCGCATTAGCATTTTGAGTGGCCGGCTGACATAAATTTATTCTTAGGTTTCCATTAAGTCTGGCGGACAGTTATCCCAAACAGTTTCCCCGGCCCTTCCGCTTCTACGTTTATATCACGTCCATTTCACGTTCCGGAAAATAAAGGCACTCCGCCTAATATATCTGTGAATTCTTCCTAACACTGTTTCCGCTCTGATATATTATCGATTTCTATCGCGATTAAGAAATTTTATTGAAATAGATTTCGACGATCGAAAGAAACGAGACGAGGAATGAGCAATGATACATAATCAATTTTCCAAGTGTAAATAATTTCGAAATTTGATTTGTTTTTCACCGAATCGATTATTCGCGCGAATTTCCTTGACCTGTTTTAACCCTTTGAATATTTAACGATTTCTTATTATTCGAGAAAAAACAAGATCAAAACATAAAATCCTCTGCTTATCGGAGCAAGATAATTCATTTTCGATCAATAAAGGCTAATAGACGTTATCGTGCATATTTTTGCAGATACCCACGGTTGATAGAAACTGTCGAATCATCGATAAAGAAGCGCGTTGGTGGGTAAGAAAATATCGTAGTGGTCAGGAGTTACCGTTTGGTAGTAAGGTTAGGGGTTGATTTGACTCGCAGAGGGCGCGTCAACCTTCCTTATCGACAGAGTTCAACCCCTATTTCGACGATGCGAGAAACTTACGCTTGTTCGCATCCAGATGTCAGTGTCTCCTCGATCAAGGGATAGAACGGATAAAGGTTTGATTTAAATTCGTCTTTTTAGAGAATAGAAGAGATAATATTCTTCGATATATATATATATATATTCTCATTAATCGATTGATCGATTTTATTTCATTCGCTTTCACGATATATATATATATATTTTTTTTAATATTATCTTTACGTTTACAAGCAAAAGTTACGTTAAAAAAGATTGACCGATTGAAAAGATCGTCAAAATCATTATAGTACTTGTAACGTAATAGAATTTCTTTGGCATCGTTTCATCGAAACGTATGACAAAGGAGAGCCGAACACAGGTAGCCTGGAATGTAATCGCCTTAAACGATATTCCCGGATTTCGTGCCAGAAACGTGCAGACGTTCCATAATAGATATTTGCCATACGTAATGATAATCCCATAATGCAAGGATTCCTATTCCGAACAGGGCACCACAAATGTCAAATTTCTTCCGCTTGACGTGCGTCGAAATCATATTTCTTATTCGCTTCCTCACCGACCCTAGGTATATTGCACGGCCTCTGGCGCAAAGAACGGGCTGGAATGTGTATCGAAGCGGAAAAAAAATTTATACGTGTATACCTCGATATCTCGATCGATGATGGTTTTCATACTTTTGCACGGCAGAGCGGATCGGGCAAGACTTGTATAGACTTGTTGAATAATCTCTGCAAATAAGAAGCGATCGGTGGATGGAAATTTCACGATGGTTCAAGTTACACGTATCGTACGAATGATCCTGTGCACGTAAGAATGAATTTTTAACAAAGCTGCGATACATGATTAAAATGTACACACTTTTCACAGACATCTCGAGCCAGTTACGCCAACTCAAGAATGCAGAGTGTAACCGTGATTAAAGTACGAAGATTAGCCATCAAACGACCACAAAAGGACACGGGGAGACAGGTGACACTTGAAACCCAAATTAATTGCAACTCTGAGGGAGTGTCACAATAAATAGACGGTAATACAACGAAACTGTTTTCCAGCAGGGAAAATCGTCAAAGATTTTATTTACATATTTACAAAGAAAGTGAAGTAGAAGTGGAAGCCATAAGGATGAGCAAGCCGACTGGTGAGGGAATAAGTGAATAAGAGAAAGAGAGAGAAAGAGAAAGAGAGGGAGGGGGAGGGGGAACAGTTTCAATTTGCATGATGGCCGTGTGGCTTCGCCAGGATAACTGTAATCTCTCTCGACGTCACGAGAGAAGAGTAAATTTTATCGCAGCCATCCCGGAATCGCAGTCAGACGGAAAGACAGGCGGGGATCGGAGGTCCTGGAAGGCTTTTGCCAAAGGGGCAAAAGCTCAACCTTTCATATCCATGTTTGCACTGGGCGAAAGCAGCCAGGAGGTACGGAGAGGCCAGAGTCCGCAAGGACGGAAGTAAGTATACATTCGGCCTTTACCTCTCTGTATCAACCTACAGACCTGCCGACCTGTCTGCCTACCAACCTTTTCAAGGCGTAATTAAATGGCGGCGTGCTGCTGCGCGACCTTTTCGCGAGTATGCCCTAGGTTGTCTGCGTGTAAACGTGCAATGGAAACCGTGGCACACCGACGGGGGCTGGGAAAAGTGCGTTTAATTCCATTTGAATCGCACTGTGCAGGAAGAGAGGGAGAGAGAGGGAGAGAGAGGGAGAGAGAGCGAGTGGTGTCGAGCCGTGTGGTTTCCCGTTCACTGGAGAATCGACGGACATGTAAGATCTCGTTCAGCCTCTTTCATTCGTCTCTACTAGGGTTGGGTACGGTGACAACCCGGTGTCAAACTCGTTGAGACGGAGCGTCGCTCGAGATTAAACCGACGATGC